GAGAGGGAGAGGGACAGGGAGCGGGAGCGGGAGCGGGAGAGAACGAGAGAGCACATTCCAGTGCTCTGCGAAATAAGAGTTTCTACTTTTGGAGAGTTTTGATATTTAGAACATGTCTCTTTACACTGAAGATGCGCGCCGCCATGCCCAGTCTCAATTGCTGTCTCAGTGTGCCCCGGGGCGGGGCTGGCACGGCAGGCCTGGGGATCGGACCCCCAGCCCCTTACTATTTTATTTTTCTAGACATCAAGCACTGTCCCTACGATGCTCACAAGAAAGCTGAGGCCCACAGCTCCGAAGCTGTGTGTGCGGCTGTTGCACCTCACAGTACTGGAACTGCACTTTAGCCCCAGTGTTCCTGACACTGCTGCCCTTGCCTTCCCATGACACTGAGTGGTGACATTTGAAACTGTTGCTTGGAAAGAAAATGAAAGAGTGAGCATGTGCTACCATGGCTCGGACGAGCCTGGAGAATGCGAGTCTGAAGGACAAGGAAGCCTCGGTGCAGGTCTACAAGATATGAGGGAGCGGGGCCCTGCGCTCAGATCTGCAGAAACAAAGCAGCATTTGGTAGAATGGAGAAAAACAATGTAGATACATGTGCATGTTAACAATCTGAGATTTTTCTCCTAATTAAGGACGTGAATGACTGGATTGGGCCACCAAATGATAATGGTGCAACTAAGGAAGTGACCATCAACCCAGACACCACCTGCGGCAATGGCTGGGTCTGTGAGCACCGCTGGCGCCAGATCAGGTGGGGGTAGTTACTGAGCCATCTCCTCTAGTAGGAATTTTTTCTTCAAGTTTTATTTTATTGAACTTGAAAGATACCAGAATCTTATATGGGCTTGTGCTTGTAGGAACATGGTTGCTTTCCGAAATGTAGCCAATGGCCAGCCTTTTGCAAACTGGTGGGACAACGGCAGCAACCAGGTGGCCTTTGGAAGAGGAAACAAAGCGTTCATCGTCTTTAACAATGATGACTGGTGAGTCAATAGCAGTTAGAAATATCTTTGTATTCTGTTATTGGTTATTCTTTTCTTTTCCCACTCATTTACTTTTTATCCTAATTGAAATATCTTTTGTTCTTTAGCTTAACAAAACAAAGATTTAAAATGTACAGAAGAGGGGCTAATGAGATAGATCAGTGGTCTAAAGTGCCTGCGTAGGCAAGCTTAGGCAGGCGCAAGGGCCCGCAGTTCCATCCCTGGCACCACATACCGTGTCAGCCCTACCCTCAGGGTGCGCTGAGCTGGTAAAAAAAAAAAAGACAGAAAAAAAACAATTTTGGATCTTTTCAGATTCCTCAGTTTTTATAAGCATTTTCTGTTTTAAGTAGAGTTCATTTTATGCAGCTGTGTCTATATACATATATAATATATGAATATATGTATTATATATGTGTAATAGTATAGTTTTATAGCATAATATATATAATATGCACTAATATGTTCTCATCACACTGTCTAATTAATGCACCAGTAGCCCAAAAGTCAATGTGATGGTTGTGCAGCCACTAAAAGAATGTGCTTTTGACGCTATCGGCATGTCATTTTGTCCCCTACCTTTCTGTGTCAGCTTCTCCTCGTCTGCATCTCTGGTTTATTTGTTGCACTTTCTTGTCTCTCTCTAATGGATAATAATTATAGGGAGTCAGAAAAGTGCAGATTTATTTATGGATTAACCGTGAGGAGAAGTTGGTCTTGGAGTGAGATGCTTCAATGATGTGCAAAAAGGCCTCACTAAGTATAATTCTAAGCATGAGGTAATCTTAAAACAGGACAAGAATATGAGGATTAGAAATGAAAGACCAGAAATGGAGAGTTTTAAAACTGAAACACCAAAGCTTGCTGGGTAAAATTATTGACCACACAATATATATCTTTATAAATAATTTTGAAAAAGAATTGTTCTTCTACTCAAAATTAGTTCATTTTAGCCTAATTCTATTTAGATAAATAATTAATATATATTGCTTTTATTTAACCAAAAGATGCCAGGATTAGTTCTTTTTCTGTTTTGGATTTGAGAACTAAAATAAATCTATACAAGACAACTTTATATTCCAAAACTATATGCCTCTATGTGGAAATACCATATTATTTTTTTACTTCTAGGCCAAATTCTTGTTAGACTCTTGGCAAAAAGGATAATTTTGAAAAAAAAAAACCCATTGAAAAATTTAAAAGTAATCAGTATTTGTTAAGTTCAGAAGAGTACAAATTTAAAATATTAACGTTTGACACGGTAGTCGTTTTCTACAAGTGTGCTCACCCCAGCAAAGCTCTTCGGCAGTTTTGACCTTCCTCACTTGGGACCGTCCGCTTTTGAAGAAGGAGCTGCTCATCTGCTGTAAGGCTGCTCCTGGGCCTCAGGAAGTCTAGAGAAGCCCGTAGACTTGGACTTGTTCTTAGTGGGCCCCTGACTGCTTAAAGTTTATAGCACAAAGTTAAACTGTTCATTTATTCTAGAAATAGTCTGTTTCCTTGTATTTGTTTGACTTAAATTAAAATCATGTATTCACTTGTACTTTTCAGGTCTCTGTCCACCACCTTGCAGACTGGCCTCCCTGCTGGCACATACTGCGACGTCATTTCTGGGGATAAAGTTGACGGCTACTGCACAGGAATCAAAGTCTACGTTGGTGGTGACGGCAAGGCTCAGTTTTCTATCAGTAACTCGGCCGAAGACCCCTTCATTGCCATCCATGTTGACGCAAAGATATAAAATTCAAATTAAATGCACGTAGAGAAAGCAGAAACACGCGTGTTTCTTTTCTTGGACACGCTTTAGGTCTTATCATTCATTAAACCTTAGCTGTAGTTATATGTAACCCAAATGAATCAATCTGAACATTTTAAAAACTACAAATAAGCATACAATTATAATATACCTACAACTAAGAATCAGACTTCTTAACCTTTACAGATTTCTTCTTTTTTCTTTCATGAAAAAGAATGTACCCTGCTCCACAAAAGGTGATGCTCTCAACTTGTATGAATGCTGCGGAGCCATTTTTACTTTTTGACATAGCAAAATTTTCCTTACTACCTGGTCTCCTCAGATTATATGCAATCCAAATTTTTAAAAAAATCTTTATTTTGGATGTGTTCTAACCCCACGGAGTCCTTGTGTGGGAGGCTGGGTGTCCACACCGGCGATATGAAGGCTCCAGGAAGCTGAAGTGGGGGGCTTCTCTTGGGAGGCGGCTAGGTCTTGGGGATGCGGCCTTCAGCAGAAATCAGGAAGTTCTTCTTGGACCTGGTTTATTTTCCGAATGAGTTGTTAGAAGTAGCAAGGCTGGCCTCTGGGTTCCCCTCTGGTGTCCTGTGTCACTATAATTCTTAATACTCTTCTTCCTTTCTCACTGCAGCAGCATCTCCCAGCAGTTCCCAATAATATTTACAAAGCATTATTGTTAACTCGTTCCTTGCTGAACCAACCCAATCCTACTGTAGCCAAAGATTGCTGGCTATATATTTCTATGTCTCCAGCAGCCCGTATGGTTATTCTAGTAACTCGCCAGGTCTGTGTCTTTACCAATGTCATATACCAACCTCAATATGAATCAAGGGTTCACTCTCACTCATCCACAGAACCTCTCTAGCCACTTTGCCTATCACGAGCAAAGACAAAAAGCTCCAGAAAAGAGCACGGCCCAGTTCTCCTTCATATTCTGCTAAGGCTTCCACGTGTGAGGAAGCCTGCACATGGCCCCAGGACCACTGAGGCACCTCTCATCTTCCACGCCCCTGTTCAGATTCAGCATAATTTTTCCTCTGCTACATTACTGGGACACGTGCTTCCCAACCCGTGTAATGAAAGGGTACTGTTACGGGCCTCATTTGATCATGCTGGCTACCAGACTAGGCAGACTGCCCCATTCACTGCTCGTGTCCACTTTCCTGGTCCTCCCAAAGTTGTCACTATGATGCTGCTCAGCAGACAGTCAGAGCTCTGCCATAGACATCGCGTCACATACCTGCCCTTTCTTCCGTGGAAGCCGTCATCAACTGACTCACACAGACTGAATCCCCTTGCCTACTTTGATTGTTCCTCACATGGCTCCTAATAGATGCCAGAAGATTCTTCCTACACTGGGAAAACAGAACAACAGGCACTGTTCAAGTCCCACATCACAGACCCTCCAGCCCTGGACAGGTGCTACCCAAACAGGTATCCAGGGAGTCTGGGAAAGAGCCAGTAAAAAATCGCACACCTCTGTAACATTCACAGCCAATTCTGTTCACCTGGTCAAGGTGTTTCCTTCCTCTTGGAGACCTCTGTCTACTGTATCTTCCCAATAGTTGGACTGGCAACTGCACACTGACATACCTCACCCCAAAGTGGACATTGTCCCCGGAAACCAGAGCCTGCCTCTGCGACCTACTGTTCCCTCTCCTGAGATCTTTCAGACAGCCTCCTGCAGAAGGCTGGCTCCACTGGCACCTTACAAAACCAGGTAGACTCCCTGGCAGCAGTGGGCCTTCAAAACGATGGAGGCTTGGGTAGCCTCCCTGAGGAGAAATGCAGGCCGTGGGCCTTCCTTTGGAAAGGAAGTTGTTTTCACACCAGTCAGTCAGGCATAGTACAGGACGTTGCCAAAAGACAAAAAGGCTGTCCTCAGCAAGCAAGAATTGGTGGCCATAAGACAGGAAGGCCCAGACCAGACGTCTCCCAGAAGACCCAGCTCTGCATGCACACCTGTGATGAGTCTCCTTGTGACTTTGACTTCAGGCACTCCGTCCAGATTCCTGGGGACTGCAACACCAGCCCCTGTCTCTGTAGATCCTCAGCGTCCCTCCAGATACTCGCTGACATCGCTGTGATCTCAGCCGGGCTATACACAGATGAGATTAAGGCCAGTCTCCCCACAGTCCCGCCTCGTGGTGTTCCCTCCTGTGCCATTAGTTAGCACATTTTCTCCTTTCTCTGTCTTGATATTAGGTCCTTACTCTACTGGTTGAGTTATTTCATGAACTTACAATGTCTTTTAACAATCTCGATTATGATAGGCCTTGAAGAATAAAAAAACCCAAATTAATAAATCTTGAGGAGCATAAATATGCCTAGTGAGTACAACCAAGCCAAGGCTGTAAGTCTTAAGGTGTAAAGATTTAGATAACACTGGGTAACTTTGATTGTTCCTTGCAATTCCCATTTTCTTAGTAGTTTTAAATTACAATTTTCCTAGTCTGCTTTTGCCTGTTTTTTTCTGTCCCACCTCATTCCTCTGCCATCCAGTGTTTGACATTTTCTCTCCTTTGCATATCATCTAGTTAAAGGTTTTTCATTTTTTCTCTCGCATTCCCTAATTCCAAATGCTATATTGTGAATGAAAAGTTTACCGGTAAAGGCTTTATTAATCTTTCAATAGTTAACACTATAACATATTATTTAATTGCTTTCTACCATTAGCAGAGATATGGCTGTCTCACATGTTTAGCATGTGTTTGCTGTAGGCTGATACCTGAGTCGCTTCATGTTTGTATCATAATTGTGGATTTCTTCTCTAGGGAAAGGATGGAACATAATCATTTATGTTGTTCATATCCAGTTTCCCTTGTATGATACTACTGTAGGTGATTTGCTTGATGTTACCAGGATTGCGCAATCATGGCTGTTTCCCTGTCGGCCAAAATTCAGATTGCCTTTGCGACACTAACAGTACTAGGGTCCATTCCCAGAAGACTCATTGTTTGGTTAATTACACTGCCTCCTCCCTTCACAGATTAATCAAGGTGGTTGGATCTTGGGGCTGATGCAAATACTCTTGTTAGTCATGTTCCGAGTAATCACTGAAAGGATGAAGAGCTCTCTATAGCAGCAGCAGCAGCAGCAGCAGCAGCAGCAGCAGCAGCAGCAGCAGAGTCTTTAAACTACAAGTATCCATGAACCTCAGCACAGAACACACAAACAAAATAAAAGAAATGAGAAGTCTACAAAAGGCCTCTAAAATTCCCAGCTCCATCAAAGACAACCAGGGGGAGATGAGGGGGAAGAATAGCAAAAATCACACCCCACATTATGCAGATGGATAACGGCAGAGGTTAGAAAAGGAATCAAAGAGCTACTCAGCTGGATGACAGAAGAAATAAGTAAACAAAGAAATAACGAAACTGCTTTTTAAAAAATATATTCAACACAAGGTCCACAGTGCTCACTACACAGATCAGACTCCTAGTAAGCCTCCTGTTTTCAGCCTTCCAGCGCTGGGATTACAGATGTGGCCACCACACCCAGTCTCAGCACGCCCAGTCTCAGGGCGCCCAGGGATTGAAACTACTGTTTATTATCAAAAGCGTTACATTTTTCGGCAGTGAAGTAAAGAGATAGATAGGAAAGATGAAAATGGCCTTATTGACTTTAAAGGACATGGGGAGGATCTGAGGGAAATGGGGGAATCTCTGGCTGGAGACAGAGAGAGCTGAGCCTTGTATGGACATTTTCTAGGGGTAGAGTTAGAGGGTCGCATCAATCACATATAAGGAGCTAACTGCTCTCTCCCCACCTTACGTGGGAAAGGTGAGAGGAAGTTGCACCCAGGGCTGGAGTGTGCAAGCAGGAGGGCGGGGCCGTTGGGGAGATGGGCTGTTGCTATGAGATTCAGCCACGTCAGACGACCACCATAATAATTGAGAAGTTCATACTGTGGCCAGGACCTATGGAAAAGTGGTAACCAGAATGCTCCAGTACCTTTCAGAGGACTCTAATAAAAAGCTAGATGAGGGCTGGAGAGATGGCTCAGTGGTCTAAGGCACCTACTTGGAACAAGCTTGGCAAAGCATCAGGG